GCAATTGTACATCACTGATCCATATTTGGAACACTATTGAATTTAAATTTTAAAAACTATTCCATTATATGTTCATACCTGATGATGACTGCATAGATAGCTGAAAATGTCAGAAAATTAAAAATTTTTGCTGAAACAGGCTGGAACTTTTTATTTTTACATTTATTCCAGTTAAGAAATTTTATTATGTCAATTTGTGTTGATCTCAAAACCATTTATATTATATTCCTTTCAATAGTGAAGAATTTCATTCATACATTATCCAACTGATAAAGATAATAGATATGACATTATTTTACAAAATGTATTCAGAAGTTCTAGAACACATTCTTTGTTCTATTGTCACACACCTTTCCCATATTACTAAAATTAAATGGCATAAACTTGCTCCACCAAACATATTTCTCAGAAAGAAAGGATCAGAAGTAAATTATTTGCAAACAGGAATAATGCTCTCACAATAATGTCTACAGGTTTGTAGTATTCTCTTACAGCAAAAGAGTCCATAAACAAAGAATTATCCTTTTATAAAACAAGTTTATTTCAGAAAGTATTCCAAGTACAATTCTTAACAATTCTAATGTAGAACTTCTAACAGTTCTTAATAGATATTATAAAATTTTAAAAATTTATAACCAGGCACCATATAACAAGTGACATTTAAGTTTTAAATAAGCAAAAATCACTTTGGAATGTACTGCTGTTATTTAAGTACAATATATGAATTACATCTACTTGATCACTGCTCAATGAAACTTTGAAGAAAGATGTTCAATAGAAAAGTATTACTATTATAGTAAAAGAAAAAATAAAAATAAAAATAAACTGTAAAATCATTCATTAAAAATAATATTAATAAAAAACTAATAAGTTCATCATAAAAATTATTAGTTCTGCATCTTATGGTACAACTTGACTTAAATTTCAATTATATGTTTTTTTTTGGTTTGTTCCTTGAGAGATATATATACAAATGGTGCTCCACAATAGTATAAAAATAATCATACATTTGATGAAATAGCCCATCTAACTTAATGTTAAATAAATACAATGCTACAAAAGTTTATTGTTTATTCAATTAACCCATTGTACATGTAGTAAAGTTTAGAACTTTGATACAGTATAAACAAAAAAAAACAAAGTAAAAAAGTTAAAAAAAATAAATAAATAAAATTTTCACTGTATTATTAAGGCTTCAACAGTTAGAATACATAAATAAACAACAGAAAATTAAATTTAACTTTACAACTGTTTACAGGAACATGACAACTTTAAATTTGGCATGTAATATTAAAATAACTACAGTAACATTTGACTAAGATGGGATATGCAAAGATCCATTAGAGTATAAAAAAGAGACATGAAGAGTGCAGAGTGTATTTCAGACAGTGGTTCCAAAACTTTTTCTGCTAACATCCCTTGGTTCCATAAATTTGTTCCAGCATCCCTAATCTTACCACACAAAAGTTTATTTTTATAATATTGGTTTGCATGACTAACTAAAAAATGTAATAAAATTCAAGTAGCAATTAAACTAAATATTTAATATCTTATTAAAACTTGGATTATTTATTATTTATTCTATAAACTGATAAATTTAAGGATTTCATCAATTCCTGTTTGTAAAAGCAAATAACCATTTGCCCAACAGTTTGTAATAAATTTAATATCTACTGTACTTATCTACTTCACTAATAGTAAGTAGTTATAATTAATATGTGGAATGAATTCTAAATAATGGCTAATCTGGCCATGGCACCTCTGGGTGCTTCAGCACAGTTTGAGAACTACTGATTAAAGGTATGATTTCTAAATAATGTGTAATTTTTACTTTGATTGTTAATGTCCCTGAATATTGGTTTCTGGAACTTAAAAGTGCTACAATGATAAAAATATGAACTCTAGAAAGATAGTTTTGGGTGAATTAGATAGATGTTCAATAGTTTATAAGGAATGTTTTTATTTCTGTTTTGCTAAAGATGACATTTCTATAATGATGAAAATAATTTCAATAAATATGGTAATACATTTTTATTTTAATTAAAAAGTATTACAGATTGTTTATATATTAGTATTAAGTATTTTAATTTTTTGTTAGAAGAAACTAAAAATAAAACTTTATACTTACATTTCCAAGATTATCAATATTTTCAATATGTTGAATTATTTTATGGCTTAATCGTGAAGTATATGTTTCTAGACCAGTCTCAGTTAACACATGAATTAATTCTGGTTCTACAGCAACACTTTTCATTGATGCAGTGAATGTATATTGACAAATTAACTGTGGATTTGTCATCACATCATATAAATAACCAACTTGTGATCCACAGAGAAAGCAACCTAATCCTTTCAATTTATGATATGATGGGGAATGTAATGGTGAATTACTAAGAAAGTATGACTCTGATACAGCAACAGCAGCACTTAAAGGATCCACCATTAATCTATTAAATTTATCTACAATGAAAATACTATATATAAGTATACAAAAGCCTAATTTCATTACAATAATAAATTATCAATTCAGTTAACTTCTCATTTTTAGCTATTTAGAAAGTTTCCTCCAAATCACTATTTCTTGATACTTTTAATGATTAGATAACTTAGAATAGTGTAATTAAATTTAGAAGTCTAGGATAAAATAGTCTAAAAAGGAATTTGAACTTACAATTTTTACTCAAGTATGCAAATATATTCTAATTATAATAATAGGAACACTAAATCAGATACATTTAATTTAGAATAGTACATTATTCCATTTAATGGCTCCTCAAGCTGTATTTGATTAACCATACCTTGCATATTCCAGTATGGCATATAATTATAATAATTAGACTAAAAATGGCATTCTATTAACTTTAATAGTTACAGAATTATACTGTATTACTTATTAAGACTAGCTATTACTTAATTATTATATTTTATATTTCTTATTAACTATCTTTTAAATACAAAAAATATATTATAAATATCACTTACAAAACCAAAACTCCAACTTGCAAAACATTGAAAGAAAAAGAAATGTTGAAAATGTTTGTTTTAGTTCAACATTTTGTTTTAAAAGCTGGAGTATTGGTTTTGTAAATGATATTTATAATTTAGCAGATAGTGTAATTATTACAAAAAAATATATATATAAAATCATAATATTCATAATACAAATTAATTAAACATACCTTCAACATAAAATGGACAAAGGTTTAATCCCTGTAATCCACCATGATCTCCATTCTCAGGAAAGTATCTGTAGAGTAATGTAATCACTTGAGCTTTACTAATAGTGATGTTCTCACATGTCTCATATTTTGGATTAATTTTTACTTCAACATAGCATCCTGGAATATTAACTACAGGACCACAAATTTCATTATTATAAGGTTTTATATTACCTATCTGATTAATTTTCATTATACTAGGAAGCTGAATAGTTACAGGAAAAGAATTTTCATGAAGTATAGAAGATAACTGTTGGCCATTATTTGTGCATAAAGTATCAAAATATGTTTCAAAACACCATTCAATACAATCATCTTGATTATCTGTTTTAAAATTATTATCAGATTGAATAGATTTATTTTTTTCAGAAATTCCTGAAGATGACATATTTTCTGAAACATCTGTAGGGTCTTGAATTACATCAAAAATAACACGAAATACTTGAATTTCATTTGTTGACATGCAAGCAAAATAATCTTCAACTAAAGTCATTTCTTGAACAGGGAAATTAAGTGATATATCCATTAAATGATCAAAGTCATGAAATCTCTGTTTTGAAATGTCATGTATTTTTAAATTATATGAATATACACTAAGAACTTTGCCTTTGCCAATAACAAGTGATGCTGTTTTTTTACAACAACATATAGTTAGGGCCATTTCATCTAAGGGTAGTTCAACCATTTCTAACTGTCCACTACCTGACTGACTACTGGGTGTAACACATCCTGCTATGCGAACTCTCATAGGCTGACCTTTCATATCAATCCACCAGTTCAAATATACTCTCACATAGGTAATGGGATTAGAATGTCTTGAAGATTTCCTTTCTAATGTTGCGACGTAATTACCTAAAAACCAAGCATTTTAAATACTTATTATTTTAATAATTCTCTTAATTTTCAAAATTTTCACTTCACAGTTCTAACAAAATATGCATAATTGGGATGAGTTATAAGTAATGTCATTCTTTAATGAATTTTAACAGATCTTATTTACATTAAATATTTATTTGATTAAATATACAATGTCCTTCACTAAATATGGCATTTTTTTTTATTGATCTAAAATTTGTTTTGATGTCTTTCTTATAAAAATCATCAGATATTAATTTGAAAAGTGTTTCTATGTACTTCTGTATAGCTTCTTTTGAATTAAAAACTTTTTCCATTAAAACTGCATTGAAGAGATCAAAAGAGGTGCTTAATCTGTAGTGCCAGATCATTTTCCAATTAAACTCTTTCCAATTTTTGTTGGGTGGTTATTGCAATATACAATTGAGAATTAAAGAGCAAAATAAAGCTCTTTCTGTTTGTCAATTATGGACATTTTTCTTAGACTGTTTCACAAAATTTTTTCAATTGCCAACATTATAAAGTAACATTTACTGTTTCATTTAAATTCAACAACTCAAAATACAGTATTCTTCTCATATTCCACCACAGCAATACCTTTCAACGATAAAGACCATACTTTGGTTCTTGAGCTGGAGTATCTTTTGAATCTAACCACTATTTTTTACAAATGACATTAGCATATAATACTCACTCCTCATTACAGTTATGATTCTGTACAAAAATGGGGTTTTCTGTTGTCTATTAATTAAGAAGGGAAACACATCGATAATCAACTCAGATAATTCTGTTCAGTAAGATCATGTCCACCCATATCCACATTTGTTTATCTTTCCTATTTGGTGTAACCACCTAAATGATATTGATTGGAACATGAAGTTTTTAGTTTTGTTTTGCAATTTCTTGTCCAAACAATTTTGGGTCAGTTTCCACTACTGCAACAATTTCAGCATTTTCTAAGCCAGATGATCATCCAGAGCAAAGCCCATCTTCAAGAATGAAATCCCAATCCTCAAATTTTTTGAACTAATGCTGTCATTTTCTGATATTAAAGTTTCACTGCCTACACACTACTTGTTTGTTGTTGTAACTGCAATTTTATCTTTTTTAAATTCATATAACATTACTTGTCTTAAGTGTACTGTTTGCTGCATAAAGGTTTGTACCTTTATGCAGCACGAGCACGAGCAGAAGTTGAGCACATGCAACCAATGAAAACAATGCTTAGAAAAATTGACACTACTTATTGACTCAACCCAATAATTCAATTTTAACTTACCAGCATCACAATAAATTACTTGTTTCACACGATCCACAGTAGGAAATGTGTGAAGGATACGACCTCTATGATCTAAATCACGCACTTCAATACTATGATGGAGTGTTGCCACTAATAATTTTTCCTGAGCAGTACATAGTGCTACAGGTTCAGAATCTGATAAAAATACATCTTGGGACAAGAAATGATGACATGAAATTATTCGAACCATTCCTGATGGAATACCAACTCTATCTTCAAAATTTCTCTTATTCATTATCTATCTTCCTGTAATTGAAAAAAAATATATAATGAAATAACAAATGATCGCCTGAAAGATTGGGTTAGAATTTGGCTAATTAAATGATTATTATAAAGCAATTTGACACTAGAGGGAGGCATTAGGTGCCATCTCTTGATT